GTCCCTCCTCCTTTCCCTTTTGCCTTCCTTCCACTCTCCTCACAACCGATATCCAGGTGTCGAACAGTGGCCCTGGGTGCAGGTCAGATGCAGCCATGGCGTGTCACAGGGGGTGTGTGCCACGGCTGAACTCGGTATGTGTGCTTGGACAACGGCATCCTGGCAGCCAGTCCTGGATTAGCCTTTGCCGAGGTGCTTGAGGATACACGGCTTATGCTTGGCTGCTCGCTTTGCCCATTCCATTCCCTTGCAGAAGTGGATCCTGGGTGGGCAGCCTTGTTCGCTTCTGCCCAGTCCAGGTGCTCCGGGCCAGAATGGGTGGTGCATGGGAAGTCGTTTGGATATCTGACTTCCTCATGGGAAGGCAGCCTGTTCTCTGCTAAAAGCCCGTGATGTAGTTCAGCTGAGACGTGTCAAGAGTGCTGGTCCAGCAGCCACAGCTGGGATGCAACAGGAATCTTGGTCTCTGTAGGCCAGGTGGCAGTTTTCACCAGGAGCAAATGACTGGGGAGCTGCTCAGAGCCCAGTCAACCCCTTCCCCTTGGAGTTACCTTCTCTTTCCTGTTCTGGAAGATGCGTCTTCTAACTGCTATCTCCTCCTTTGGGGCCTGGCATGGTGCGGGCCGGAGACAACTGTTCTGCCAGGATATCCGTTCTCACCCTGGCATTCTCACCTCAGTTTCCTCTGGCTGTCAGGAGTTGGTCAGAGCAGCAGCAGTCATGGCCCTGCTTTGCCCCGTGGTGATCATGGAGGGCATTTCAACAGGGGACCCCCAAACAGACCCAGTTCTGTGATTTGCTTCCCATTGCAGTCCCTTTTCCCTCTTCCCAAGTTTACCCTTTAGTGGTTTCCTTCTATCAGCAATAAATCATAAGCCCCTGTTTGTTTACCCCTTCCCACTGGCGAGGCGTTTAGTCTGTACCCCGGGTTAGGATGGATGATGTGGTTGCCAAAGACGTTGCCTCACCGGTTCAGTGGAGGTAATTCCGCACTGCCATCCTTGCCCTGCAGCCTGCCCTGTTTTTTCCCTTTTCGCCTTGTCTGGTTTGCCTGCCCCTGCTCCCCTTGGCTCCTGCTCCCCGCACGCTTGCCGCAGGCAGGCAGGGTGTAGTGGGGACTTTGCACACCCTGTAGCAAACCCACCTCCCTGTGCCTGCAGCCCTGTCCTCCCGGTACCTGCCCTTGACCCCTGACCCCAGAAGCCGCCCGAGATGCAGCTTCCTGCCAGGCAAGGAGTGCTGCCAGGGCATGGGAAGAGCAGGTCCGTGCCCCGGGTGGCTAGCAGGGCCTGTTCCTGGGCTGCAATCCCAGGGAAAAGAGATGGCTGTGCCCTCCTGCTGTAGCAGTCCTCCTACGAGCACGGTGTCTGCATTCCCTTGGTCAGCTGCAGCGGTTTCTCAGGAAGCACAGGTGGGTGCTGGGATTGCTGCACGCAGTACACATCATAATCTGCAGGCAGTAAGCAAACACCGTGGAGGAGAACTTTATTTTCAAACAGCTTGCCAGCACAAAGTAAGAACACACTCCCCCGCGGATGCTCGGCATCCGGGGGGCCCAGCGAGATCAACTTGGCTCAGTTGAGCTGCCCCCAGCTCCTGCTGGGATGTTGGACGGTGAGACCAATTACGGCAGCAAGCAAACCAGCATCGTCGTGGGCAGTGCTGCTCGCAGGAGGGCAACGTTCTGGGCTTTAAGATTAAATTCAACCCCCCGTTTTACTGCCTATTCAAACACCCTGCTGCACCTGCTCCTGCAGGATGAGGGCAGCTTGACGTTACTGCCCACTTGACCCGTCTGACTTCCTCACCGCCCTGCTAGCAGCTCTGCTGCACCCGCTGACAGCAATCTGTGGTTTGCGGCCTGCACCAGCCTAGGCTTGGAAACCAAAATTTGAGGCATGCTGGTGATGCGTGCTGACAAGAACGGGAAACACGGGGTGTTGTGGGGGATAGCCGAATCTCTGGGCAGAGGGCCCCGGGAGTATCAGGCTTCCTGCACGCTCGCTCGGTGACTAACAAACCCATAAAAAACGGAGGAGGAACAAAGGATGGGAAGTGCCTGACCAAGGCCAAGCTTCGAGTCTTGCCTGACCACATCCGGGCCAGTGCGTATGGCCTGGCAGCTAAGCGAGCAGCCAAGCCGTGACTGCATGTGGGCGGGCGCGAGCTGGGGTTCACTGCAGGAAGTCATCGTGCTCTCTGGGGGGCAGGGAGCGCTCGCAGGAATCTCTCCTCGCTGCTGCTGGTTGGAACACTTGGACAGGGGAAGAAGCCATCAGAAGAGGTGCCACCATGGCCTTGGCTCTGCCCTGATGCTGCAGCACAGGGACAAAACACAAATGCACCTTGTGGAAGGAGGCGCTGGCTTGTACAACAGCACACCGTCCGATTGTGTCTGCGCGCGCCGGCTGTTCAGCATCCCTCTCCGCAGTCGCGTGAGCTTACGCTACGCCCGTTCCCTCCTGCCACGTGCTGCCTTCCCTGTACTGCTGGGGTACCGGGGGGCTGCCCCCAGCCCTGCTGCAGGAAGCAGGCCAGAAAGGCAGAAGAGAGGCTGTTCAGGCTACTCAAAGAGACATACCTGCTTGGGTTGGTGCCGCTCGGGTCGCTGGTCCCTGGGCTGGGCCTGCGGCCTGTGCAGAGATTTGTACAACATACTCTTCAAGTATTTGTAGAGGTTGCTTTTTAGGTGCAAGGGGTTGTAGGCAACTTCCACCTCCAAGCTGTTCAGGGCACTCTGCTCAGGCAGAAGAAAGAACTGAGTGAGCTATGAGGTGCGTGACAGGTGGAGAGTGTGGGGCTTGCTTGGGGATTTTTGTTGTTGTTAGCGTTGAGGGCTTCTTTTTTTGCGGGAGTGAGTGTTACAGACACTCCATGCTGCCCTGCAGTGATGGGAGAAGGGATCCTTGGGTGTGCTGCTACCCACAAGGACCACCCTTAGCCGAGTATAGACAACCTGAGGTCGTACTGGATTTAAGCATTCCCTTGCAGGACGCGGTCCTATCCTTTCCCACCCCTAGATTCAGCCAACAAGCTGGAGAGCCCTTTCTGGGCACCATCACCCTCGACCCTCTGCTTCGTAAGGCCCCTTCCCTCAACAGACACACAACGTTGCTCCAAAGGACAGACATTTGCTGTCTGGGAAGAAAGCTGTAGGATATACTGGCTGCTGGGAAGAAGTTTTAGCTCCATCATATTCCAGCTGTCACTAGACAACTGTTTCCTCCTCCGCTCATCTGCTAAGACCTATAGCGTGGGCTCTGCCCTTCCTGGCGTCACCTGAAGCACAGGCAGACAACTCAGGAGAACACACGGATGCACCACAGGAAACGCAGAAGCCTGAATCTATTGGAAGAAGCAGACACACTTGACGATGTATTGATTTATCTTATCCCTAAAGCACCTCCCTGCATCCTGAGGAGATCCATGTTCACCAGCAACGAGGGAGACAAGTACCTCAGCAGCCGCCGCATGCCTCGTGCATAAAGGCTGATCGTCACTCCGAGCCCTGCTTGTACAACTGGGATCCCCTCCCCAGGTATCCGTGCAGGGCTGCCATGCCTTACCTCTATAGGGCCGTACGCTCCCTCCGGGTGTTCAGCAAGGAGGGCTGGGAAGGTTGAGGGCAGCAGGAGTTCTCTGATGGCAACTGCTTTGACGAGTAGAGTGGCAGAGTCGGAAGGGACAACGACGTAGTAGGAATGCACCGTGATGTTCCAGCTTGGACTAGTGTTCTGCGGCTCGTGTTTAGCCAAAAGCATCCACTTCCTTTTCTAAAGGGCAAGAGCCAAAACCAGTGTGAACAATGGGCAACAGCTGCTTCCTTCAGCCCCCTGCCGTAGGGGCAGCTGGGTTCGGGAGCAGAGACGTCCATACACATGGAAATTAAGATGACTGTTCTGCATTATGGTTGAGGGTAGTACAGTGTGTTGGTTTGGGTTTTTAATTGAATGCAAGACAATTCTTAAGAAACCCATTCAATTTTGCTTTACAATTTGTCATTAATAGAAAGTCATAGAATCACAGAATGGTTTGGGTGGGAGGGGACCTTAAAGCCCATCCAGTTCCAACTCCCCTGCCATGGGCAGGGACACCTTCCACTAGACCAGGTTGCTCCAAGCCTCATCCAGCCTGGCCTTGGACACTTCCAGGGATGGGCCATCCACAGCTTCTCTGGGCAACCTGTTCCAGTGCCTCCCCACCCTCTGCGGGAAGAACTTCTTCCTGATGTCCAATTTAAACCTCCCCACTTTCAGTTTAAACCTGTTAACCCTCCACATCCCAAGCCTTGGTTAATTATTTTCACAGTTAAAGATCCATGTCTAACTCAAACCCAGACCTTTGCACTTCATACTTCCAAACACTGGATTTCTGATAGGCTAGAGAGTCTTCGCTAAGACTTGATGTGCTGTAGCATCTGTTCAGTGGATGTACTGGCTGGAAGGATTTACAAGTCCAACTCTGGCCCATGAGATGAAGCTGCAGCTTTTGAAACACGTTTTCTGTGCAGGCCAGACGGATCTCACTTAGACGTGCACTAACTATTCCTTTCTGTGGCATTTCCTCCCCACGAGACTGCAATTTTCACACACTCACCAGAAGACTATGACATAAAGCATGGAATCTCTGCTGGTTTATCTCCAGTTCGTCCCAGTCTAGCTGCCAGCAGCTTGTGGGCTTGAGGATGAAGGGCAGGCCATACAGTACGGACTCACAGACCCCTTCCGACTTCAGAGCCCTGCAGATAGACAGCTCATGTTAGTGAAGCACAGCGGACATGAAACCGTGCCACTAGCTGAAGTGGCTGTGACAGCGTCAGCTGCAACGCTGCTACGAGCAGTTCATGTCTGTGTTGCTGTGGCCTGGCCTACAAAGCTTTGCAGAACTGCCCAATTGCAGTGAAAAGAGGCTTTCTTGCCGAATTCCGGATTCCCTCGTGTCTGTGTTGACAAGAGCACGCCAAGAAGCAAATCCAATCTTCGTGCATTTTCTATACAAACCAGATTGTTACTCTGGCCTCTTGGGCAATGACTCACCCAAGGAATTACACCTCTTCCTAAGTGATTTTTAGTGGATCATGGCTGTCCTTCACTTAAACTGGCACGTGCTCTACCCCTGCACAGAGACAACATCCTACCACAAACACCACTGCAGACTTCACAGTGCTTGACGCTGCCTGTCCGCAGCACGCTGCTGCCTCACGATGGGGCATTAGGAAGTAGCTTCAGTGCTCTGGCTGTGGGATATTTATGCACAGCTACTGAGAGCTCTTCAGCTACTGACAGGATGCAAATCGTTTTAAGAACAACCGTATAGTTCAGAAAGTGCACTCCTCGCCCCAACAGCCATCAGAGGAGACGCTAGGGAGCACACGATGTGCTTAGCAGGCACAGACTGCTGATGGGAAAGCAAATAAATTCTTCCATGAGGTCACGCTGCCCTACGAGGCTTGGCTTGGTTTTCTAAGCAAGCTTGGTTTTCGTGGTTGGGGTTGAGGGTATTGTACAGCAGACTTGAGCTCACAAGCACTTGGGAGTCCCCTAGCGCGTTACGGTGACGTTACCAGATCCCAGCTGGCATTGCACGGGCCGGGTGAAGGCTGCTATTGTACCAGCCTTCCAGTTACCCTGTGCCAAGCACGTAGCAACACTTACTTTACAACCTGGAGTCTGTACAGCGCTGTAGCTGGCCAGGCTGCCATCTGGCAGGGTGAATTCAAATCTGCCGCTCTCCCTGTGCCGTCAGCCGTGCCGGGAAGTAGAGCTGGGTCGAGCAACCTCTCCTGCAAATCGCACTTCAGGCATACTAGGAGAAGGAGGTTGGTTTAGATTGCTGGAAACGGCCATGTGTCGCACATGACATGCTGGCAGCACTCACACATGCTGTAAGCAACAGCAACTATTAAGGGAAGAACAACGCTAAAGCCTGTGACAACAAGGCAACAATCACGCATCTCACACACAAAGGGAAATACCAGGTTTGGCACGTCAGTGAAACGACGACTGGCCGGTGGCTGGGCAGGCAAGTTCCAGTTTGGGCAATGGGTGGCCAGCTGTAGTGGGAGCAGAGGCTCAGTTCCCAGTGCCACACGTTTCATAGAATCATAGAATCAT